GTGGAAGAGGAACAAGTTTTACCAGATAAGACTAAGACTGATCTGAAAGTGGATTTAAAAATGACAAGTTATGAAATGGAAAAAGATGCTACACTGGATATACAAAAGAAACTGGCTGATGTCTTAATAATTAAAAGGGATATACCAATAACAAATCAAGGGAATGACTTGGATAATTTTCCTCTATTCGATTTACAAAAGAGGCTTGTTAAAGCTCTGAAGAATTTTGTGAGAGGGGACAAAGAAAAAAATGAAAAGAAATCAAGTTCTAGGACATTATTTGAAGGGACTAAAGATCAAGATTGTTAAATAAAGTTGATTTATTTGATCAAGGTTAAAATAAATATGTTGTTATTTCTGGTAGGGACAAAGAAAAAAATGAAAAGAAATCAAGTTCTAGGACATTATTTGAAGGGACTAAAGATCAAGATTGTTAAATAAAGTTGATTTATTTGATCAAGGTTAAAATAAATATGTTGTTATTTCTGGTAACCCTTAATAGTCTTTTGTTGACCAGGCCTGAAATGACGAGTTTTTAAGGATATGTTTATAGATAAGAGATGGGATATGGGAAGAAGAGATAATTTATTGTATTTTAAGAGGAGGTGATAAGTTACTAAAATTGTTTATACTTGTGATGAAGGGGGAAGTCATTTCTTTATATATTTCTTTTCTTTTTTCTTTACTATATTTTTCTTTTTTTTTGTCTATTTCTTTTCTAATTTCTTTTTCTTTTCTGCACTTTCTATTTTTTCTTTTTTGTTTTGTTAGTTTGGGATATGGGAAGAAGAGATAATTTATTGTATTTTAAGAGGAGGTGATAAGTTACTAAAATTGTTTATACTTGTGATGAAGGGGGAAGTCATTTCTTTATATATTTCTTTTCTTTTTTCTTTACTATATTTTTCTTTTTTTTTGTCTATTTCTTTTCTAATTTCTTTTTCTTTTCTGCACTTTCTATTTTTTCTTTTTTGTTTTGTTAGTTTTTTATCATTGTAATTATAATTTTTAATAAAATTACTATGAAAAGAAAAAAAGAAAGAAAATATTAATACAATATTCAAATAATACTAGAACAAGCTATCTAATCTAAAGCTCCAGTCTCAATGCAGAATTCAGTATGTTTAGACCAGTCTTTTACCCACAGAGTGCAGATGGCAATGTCCAGATGTGGTAGAGGCTGCAAATCTCAGAATTCCAAGTTAGTATGACCAACATCTGAGGATTGAGTTGCACTCCCTAAAACATCTGGAGGGTGATTCAGGTATACTATAGATTTTGTCAAACTGGGGAGAGTATCAGATTGAGAAAGGCTGTTTTAGAAATAGCCATACACTTTACATTTACATCAAAAATAGACAGAACCAATATTCATTAGGAGCTTTAATTAAGAATTAAAAATCTCACTCTTCCATATGTCCATCTAGCAAAATATGGAATAGGAACTGAACTGGAATGGATTATATTGGATCAGCCACAACAAAAGAGGGGAGACTGGCAAATGGTCTTTTGTAGCACTTTAATTCAGGGACAAATTATCAATAATAATGCTAATAATTCCAACAGTATGGTATTTGAGTGTACTGTTGTTCTAAGAGTCATACCAAGAAATAGGCAGTGTAGGAAAAAAAATATATTTGTTGAATTATAACATTCAAAGTTTGGAGGGGAGATGAGGACCCTCCAGGTATCACTGTGTCAGTGGAGAAATGTATAATGGTGTTCAGTTAACAGCGCAGTCAGGAGTACCAATTGTTCAGAATTATATGGAGGATCATAAAATGTTTGGCCGCATGCAAATTCTCTTCAGACCTTCCTGTCAATGCTGGGAGCTGGTGGCCACGTGTCCCCACTTCTCCTCCATGCTTAAGGATTTACAAGTTCTATAGTAAGAAAATTATGGCCAGGGTATAGACTGTGACATGGGATACAAAATATGGCTGCTTCAGTTATCCCAAATAGGCATTAAGTCAGATCACTGGGGAATTTTAATTTACAAAGTAAATTGAATGTTCAACCAGTTATATGCAAACTAATCTTTTTTTTTCTTTTCTGGTGAAGGAGCTGCCATAAGGAAAATCTCCCTTGTCCCTAATCTGAGATGAATGTTTACCCAGTCTGCCAGTGGAACTGACCTTGCTTTCGTGATTACTTATTCAGTTATATAACACCGAACACAACAGCCAGGTAGGGCACAGTTGTGAAAATTAATTCCCTGAACAGCATGTAGAACATTGTTTGGGTTGGCCTTTCCAAATTTCCAGTCACACTATGTGGTTATATTTGAGCATATGGCATGGAAGCATTGTTTGTGACTATTGCACTCACTGGGGAATGGACTTGCAAAGACAGCTTTTAGTTAAATATAGAAATATTTAAGGAAAAAACCCTAACTGACATTTATGATTAGGCACCTCTTCAATAAAATGTGCACTTTGAAACCTTTAAATTGCCTTACACAAGTATGAGCAAAATTCCAATCTGATCATCACAACAGGAGGAGGCCAGGATCTGCCATGAGGGGAAATGCCCAGTGACGCTTTGGATGGATCAGGAGGGGCTCCATTTGCTTCCAAAGCAGATTTGAAGCCAAATTATCATGAAATTGACCTGTGTTATTTTATAGAAGACTTTTTCATCTTCCATTTCTTATTCTGCCTTGAATTTCTTCTACTTTCCATTTCTAATGAATTTTTGGTAGGGTTTTTTTTTTTTTTTTTAGAAAGAAATAGGAATAATTTGCTGATGGAGTAGAAAGTCACTGTATCTGGATTAATTCACTTGCTCTTTTACATTGTCTACTCTGTTCTTCACTTTGCTATTGTTACCAATAGAAGCGAATATGTGTAGCTCAGGGTTGAACT